GCCACAAATTCCCTCCACAGTCGCCCTCCACAGGAAGTCTCGAGAGCCTCGCAGGCAGAATGGCTCCCGCTGCCCTTTTGGGGCCGGCAAAGCAGGTGCCGGGGCCTCCGTGGGCCGAGGAGGGGGCTCTGCTGAGCCGGGCGCTTGCCCATGTGGGGACCTCCAGCGAGAGGGGCACCCGGGACGGCGAATGACAGCTCAGCCCCCAGCCCCAAAGGGCCATTTGGGGAGGAAGTTCAAGGTCATTTCCAGGAGGGCCTCCTGGAGAATCTAAGGGTTTGGAAGGTGGAGGGACCAGCTGGAACCACATTCATCAGGAAAGAAGGCACAGACCTGGGAGGGTGTTTGCAAAGCCAGCGCTGGCTCCTGCCCAGCCGCCCCCCTGAGCGGGGACCCCTGGTTCAGCACCTGCGGGCACCCTACGGAAGCAGGGGCGGTGAACCCCCAGGCCTGCGGGGTTGGGGTGGAGCTGGGGGGGCTGGGTGGGGGTGTAAAGATAAGTGCTGCTCAGCTCTACCTGTGGGGCCGTGCACGACTGCCAAAGCCTTCCTATCATCCAAGAACCCGAACCCCAACTCTCTTAATCTCTCCAGTTTGAATGGAGAGGGTCCTACGTGACCCCAAAAGCCACCCCATCTGGTGGCTGGAATCCAGCCATGGCCGTGGCCCATTTCAGACCACGTGGACAAGAGCAGTGTCTTGGGGAACCGGCAGAGGAACTATCTAGAAGAATCCTGGGTCCCCGATATGGAGCGGAGGTACCTAACCAGTTGGGACTTTTATGGGGGAGAGAAAATAAAAAGCCTCTATCTTGTTTAACCCACTGTCAGTTCGGGCATTTGGCTCCGTGGCCAGAATCCTAACGAATAGACTTGGCCACAAATTCCACTGCAGGTCACTCGGGGAGCCGAGCCAACCCACGCCGACAAGCTCCAGCGGGCAGCCCTGACCTAAGGGGATGTTCTAAACGGAACCTACTGGATCATGTCACCCCCCCGCCTAGGAAATTCTCAGAGTTCCCAACAGCTTCAGCTGAGCCCAGACACCCTGAGAGCCCAAAGCAGGGCGTTCACAACGAGCCCAGCATTTGGTCCCACCTCCCACACTCCTAGACTGTCACTAGAGCTGCTCCAAACTACCCACAGCTCCTAAGTCTTCAAGGTCATGGCCCCCCTCCAGGCAGCCATCCACTCCCCCAGGCTGAGTCAGTCATGCCCTCCTCTGCCCTCCCACCACCCCTTAAACGAATACCCTATTATAGCCCATGTCATGTGGCCTTCTTGTCGCAGTTCGCTCTGAAAGTGAGGGCTCTAGAGACAGACAGGTTGAAACCTGGGTGCCCAAATTCGCCAGCTGTGTGATGTTAGGCCAGTCGCTCAACCTCTCTGGGCCTCAATTTCCTCATCTGTGGACTGGCAATAATACCGATTAAACGTTTAACAGGTGGAGACAGGACGGCTATGGTGCCAGGCGCTGGGTGCTGAGCACACAAAAATATACTGATCGCCGCGAGGCTGACTCACTCGTGGCACGGGTTGGCTTGAAATAAAATCGCATCCCACCATAAGTTACCTCAACACAGCTGTGATCAGGGACCAAGGAACAGTACCATGTGTGGATGATGCGAAGGATCCCAACCCAGTCTGGAAGAGGGGCCAGAGAAAGTTTCCCCGAGCAGGTGACATTTGTGAAGAAGCCCAGAGTAGGGGCTGGGTAGGCAAGTGAGGAGGAGAGAGCCGCAGGGAGAAGGATGGTATGTGCAATGGCCCTGAGGCAGCGAGAGAATTTCCTTTTCCGGGAACCCCAAAGGATAATGATAATAATGTCTGAGGTCTCCGGGGCCCCGCACAGGGCTTGGCACACAGTGAACACGGCCAAAGGAGTAAGGGATTCTGTTCAAAGTCCACCGCCCTCTGACTCAATGATTGACTGCCTTACCACGCATTACCAGTATGCTGGTGCTGCGTGGGCCTGAAGGAAGGTGCGCCACGAATCAAGGAAGACTTCTTGGAGGAGGCTAGCATTTGCACTAGGCCTTACAGAAGTCTGTATTTATAAATATTTACAAATAAACGTGTACCCACTGGGGGATTACTAAATAGCTATTCCAGACAATGAGGCAGAAAACGAACGAGAACCTAATCCGTATTCCAGACTTGGGGAAATGCCTGAGTTCTGCGGTGAGGGAAAGAGAGCAAGGTCAGAGTCATGCCCCCAGGCTTCCGCTGCCCTACGTAAGTATGTGGCTGTATATGGGGAGAAAACAACAGGGAAAATGCGACTCAACTGAAGAGTGGACCCGAAGAACAAAGGAAGGAGAGGAATTTTCTTAATTCTCACCTATTGTCTTACTTCATTGGCTACTTTATCTTTTGACAACAAATACCTACTACATTGTGATTAGCTGTTTCTGTGTTTCTAAAGCAAAGCAAATTAGAAATGTGAGTCTCTGTTCTTGCCTGGACCCTGCCCCGCCAGGACGAGACCCTCGGGGGGAGGCCTCGGTGCACCTGCTCGTCCTCAGAGTGTGGATTCAGGGGCTCTGGGGCCAGGGACCAATGCAGAAGTGACACATAATCATGAGTCACAGGGGCACGCTTATGGCATGACAGCAGTGACGCCTGGGACGTCTCTCAACCCCACCGCAGCCCGCTCCACGGATGAGAACTCTACCGACGGTGGCTGCTAACATTTATTGACTACCTGCTGCATGCTGGCTTTGTGCTAAATGGTGCTGTGTGCACCCTCTCTCCCACGACGACCTAGTATTATCACCCCCGTTTTAACAGAACGGGACATTGAGGCTCAGAGGTTAGGGGACCTGTCCGTGCCAGTAATTAGACCCAGGAGAGGCTCTCTCACCTCCTATCAAAACTTCCCGCCTCCCCGTGGTGTCCCCAGTGTCCCCGTCTCCCTGCAGCCGGCATGCCTAAGAATCCTGCAACTTGCCTCCACCTTTACAGTCGATTATTCAAAACACAGAGAGCGAGAACCCAGGGAGAGAAATCAGACGCTGATCTTGAACAAGAACTCCCGCTGACATGTGGGCAAACCGAATCAGGTGCGGTTCTGATAACCGAGAAAGTCAAATCGGTTTGTCCCCTTATCGGAAACTCCGAGATCAGTAGCACCCAGAGAGAAAGGCCACTAGTCAAGCCTCGTTGCATGGACCCCCCCCACAAAACAACTCGGGGGTGATCGCTTAAGGACGTATAAATGCTGATACTTAATGGCAAATCGGGGCCAGGCATCTTCAGAGCTCGGAGGTCGGCTCTGCTTGGCCACAGCGCCATTCAGGACGGAACGCGCCCAGGACCAAGCGTCGGTGAGGGACACAAGCAACGGGAGCGCCCAGCACCTGCTGCCAGGAGTAAAAACTGGCGTGGCCCCTTTGGAAAACCGCTTGGCATCGTCCAACGGGGGTAGCAGGTGCATTCCTATGAGCCAGCATCCCCACTCAAAGGCATATGCCCCTGAGCGACTCTTGAACACGTGCACCCTGAGACACGGACAAAAATGCAGCCCGGCTGGCAAGGGCGAAAGACGGCAAGCCTCCGGAACGTCACCGAGCACAGAATAAACACACCCCCTGCGAGCTGAACCCATACGGCCACGAGAATGACGGGACCCGCGCTGCACGCTGGGCACGCACGGAACCCAAGATCGACGTACAACAAGGTAGGACAAGAGAGCCAAGAGATACAAGTCGGCTTCCGTTTGTATACCATTCAAGGACAGGCGAAAGTTAACATGGTGTTGTTTGGGGTGCGTGTATATTTTACACGCTCTTTTGCACAGGTGATGTATTTGGTAATTTGATTTTTTTTTTAATTTAGAGATACAAAAAAAGAGAAAAAAATGGGGCGTCCGGGTGGCTCAGTCGCTCAAGCATCCAGCTTCGGTTCAGGTCGTGGTCTTGCAGTTCGTGGGTTCGAGCCCCACGTCGGGCTCTGTGCCGACAGCTCGGGGCCTGGAGCCTGCTTCGGATTCTGTGTCTCCCTCTCTCTGTGCCCCTCCCCCGCTCGCACCCTGTCTCTCTCTCTCCCTCTCAAAAACAAATAAACATTAAAAAAAAATTAAAAATGGCCTAGGAGTAGGACAGAGAAAATGCGAGTCCTGTGAATGTTTAAGGGACACTCAATTCTTCATACCCTCAGATGACATGGTCAAACACTCCCTGTAACATTGAAAATGCAGCTTTTGGCTGACACAAATCAATTAGCAGTGGCTTAAATAATAAAGTCCTTCAACTATCTCTCTTAACAAGAAGGCCGGAAGTAGGTGGCTAAGGGTTGAACTAATGGCTCACTGATACAATTCTCTGAAAGTCTCCTACAAAATAGCTGCTACAGCTCCATACATCACATCTTCGCCCAACCACTCCCACACGTAGCAAGTAGGGAAGCATCCAGGATGGTGAGAAAGACTTTACCCATACACCCGCCTCCTTTCATCAAAGGGAAACTAATTCCCAAAAGAGCCCCCAGCAGAGTCACATTTACATCTTAGTGGCGAACACTAGATCATTGAGCCACTGCTGGCCACGAGGAAGGTTGGGAAAACATCTGCCTTCTCCAGCCTCCTGGTCAGACGGACAAGATGGATGACAAGGAGGGAGAGGAAACGTCCGCTGAGCAGGAAGCCACGGTGCCTATCCTAACCCACCCCACCTCTGGGCAAGCTAAGTACATCTGTCCCACTATTGACGCCCTCAGATCTGTCAGACAACCCAGGTCCCACCTCACATGGCAACTGGAGTGCATACCATCACACAGCCCCCGGCCCCCCAGTGGACTGCTGCCGTGGGTCTGTTTCCTCCATGAGAGGCTTAGAGGATACTCTCAGTCGCCTTTGATCATGACCTGGCAGAGAGTGATAAGCCTCACTTTGTCGATCAACGGCTGCCATCAGACAGAGGAAGCCAGTAACTCCTCCCCACGGCTATGACGCGGCCAGGCTGAACGCTGGTGGATGAGGGGGCGCCGGGGCTAGCGGCCTACGGAAAAGAGAGAAGTTCATCAGAGGGGGCCGCTGGCCGCTCTCCGCACGGGTTGCCCGTCAACTGGAACACTTGCTCACAGAGGACCCGAAGTTTCGCTGCCGTGGCAGCTACGCGCTGAGAGGAGAGGGGCAGAAACCCAGGCGGCAGCGGCCCTGGAGACAGGGCATCTGTCGGCTTGTTCGCCGCAGTCCCCACCACTCTCTACCGTGTCTCCAACACTGAGGCCAAGGATGGCCGCCCTTTGGCAACACGCTCACCTGGGTCCTCTTCCCCTCGGCCGCTTCCCCGATCTGGGTTACCTGTCTGGCCTTGTAGGCGCTTGAGTTTGGGATCCTTGAAGTAAAACCCCAAAGATGGTCAGGTTTCCCGTTCTTTGGAGACAGTAACGAGTCTACTGTGACATTAACGGCTTCGTTCGTTCTGGGCCACTGATGTGGAGAGTGATTGAAGTCAAAGCCTCAGTGTCTGTTCCCAAAGAGATGAAAATCAGCCCTGCCGTCTGCTGGGCGTTGGTGACCCGGTCCTCGCAACAGAGCCGACATGCAAACCCACTACGTGGGGTGCCGTCTTCGCGCAGCGGCTCAGAAGCGGCTCTGGCGGTTACTCCAAAGTGCAGCTATTTGTAACTGCTACGCGGCGTGTCATTCCAGGAACCCTGAGAACTGACTTACAATTGCAACACTGGGAAGTCAAATGAAACCCACGACGATTCGTGGAGGTGACGCGTCGGGCGACTCACTTAACCTCACGGGAGCCCCAGGAGGTGGCTGCTTGTATCCCTATTTCAGATGGGATGGGGGAGCCAGCCCCTACGTGATTCCCAGGGAGCCCGTTTTCTGCTCTTCATGCCTTCGTACAGTCCCCCTCACACTGCGGCAGGGACGATCTGTGTGACCGATTCAATGCCACAGCAGTGACAGTGTGGGACTTCCAAGGCCAGATTACAAAAGGCACTGACCTCTGGGTTGGTCGTCTGGACGCCTGGCTCTGGGGGAAGCCAGCCGCCGTGTGCTCAGGACTCCGGAGCAGCCCCGCGGCGGGTGCCTGTGGCAAGGGACCCTCTGGCCAGCTCCAACTGGGCAGTCGTGCGACTGAGCCACCGCGGAGGCTGCCTCTCCAGTCCCCGCCCACATCTACTGCAGCCTCGCGAGAGACCCCCAACGTGGAACCGCCCCCCCCAAACTGCTCCCCGAATTCCCGACCCATAGAAATCCGTGACAGGTGATCAATGATTTTTGTTGGTCAAGCCACTAAGTTTGGGGTGACTTGGAAGGTAGCAACTGATAACGAACACAGGTGGTAAAACTCAGGCACAGGGACAGAAGTTAGATCATTTGCCTGATGTCACATCTGGCAGGTAGCAGAACCAGGACTTGGACCCAGGGTACCTGTTCTGGAGCTCATGCATCTAACCACACCACCATGCGGTCCCTCTGGCCGCTCCTGGGAGAAACTCAGTTTGCGTTTGCTGTATCCATTTCCCCTTCCCCGAACGCCTACTTCGTGCTCCAGATTTTACCTACATGAACTCATTTCCCTGTCCCCCACAACTCTGACAAACACGTATTTGCCCTCCATTTTCTTCTTTTGTTTACCATGTAATTCGCCCACAATGGCATCCCTACACTCCTCTTTCAGAAAAATCCAAGTCGTAGGGGCACCTGGGTGGCTCAGTTGGTTGAGCGTCTGACTCTTCATTTCCGCTCAGGTCATGATTCCAGGGTGTGGGATCGACGCCCACCTCAGGCTCCACGCTGACAGTGCAGAGCCTGCTTGGGATTCTCTCCCTTTCTTCCTCTCCCCCTCCCCTACTCACGCACGCTCTCTCTCTAAAAAAAAAAAAAAAAAAATCCAAATCACAGATAAGATCCCTAAATCTCCTGAGAACACTTCTATCCCTACATCCAGGCCCCTGTCCCAAACTGCTATCATCAATATGGTGGGTCCCTTTCTAGACCTTTCTTCCCAGCCATTCACATTCATGATTATAACCTCTCCCCCCCCCCCCAAAAAAAAAA